AGATACAGCCAAGGAAGATACAGCCAAGGAAGATACAGCCAAGGAAGATACAGCCAAGGAAGATACAGCCAAGGAAGATACAGCCAAGGAAGTTACAGCCAAAGAAGATACAGCCAAAGAAGATACACCCAAAGAAGATACAGCCAAAGAAGATACAGCCAAAGAAGATACAGCAACAGAAGATACAGCAAAAGAAAATACAGTTAATTCATCTATTGAAACACCACTAACAGAGGACGAAAAGATCAACATAAAATATTGTCAAGAGAAAACATGTAAATTCTTGTTTCCATACTATCTTCGAGAACAAGAGACGCGCGCCAATATTCATGCTCGCCTTTACACACAATTAGCACGATCTCTAAATCGTACTTTAGTTCTATCAAACGTTGGAAAATCAAAAATTCTAGCGTGTGCTCTACACCCATTTGATTTCTATTATGATCTAAAAGCATTCCAAAAACATTATCCTGACATTCGATTTATAACTCAAAATGAATTTTTTAAATGGTCAAAAGAAAGAAAAATCCGACCAATTGCGCAACATTCACGGATGATTCAAGACAATAAAATAAATGATATATTAACCGTTCATAAGCAAAAGACTATGCGTGTCATTGAAGGTGGTAAACTCGGAAGAAAACAAGCAAAATCTTTTTGTTTAGATAGATTTAATCTAAACATCACGAATTATAAAGAATTTCATACAGGGCTTAGAAAGTTAAATCGCGAAGCAATGTTAAAACTTGTTACAAATACTCTAAATTCTTTAGAGCATGAAGCAATTATGATATTAGATACGTCTCCTCAAGAATTTTTTCCGAGAATCACTGAAACAATTCCATATTCACCATCTATTATTAAAGAATCTAAAAAAATCTTAAAGAAATTAAAGCCTTATATAGCTGTTCATTGGAGAATGGAGCATGCAGTACCAGAATTAATGCCAAAATGTGCCAATAAACTAGTTAAAACATTAAAAAAAGTTCAAAAAAAATATGGAATAACAAATGTATATTTGGCAACAGATTATCCACTTGATGGTAAACCTCAATCACAAACTTTTCATCATATTTCTTACTTTCATAAAGAAGCCATTGAGATACTTGGACTAAATGTAAATAATTCCAAACATATAAAATTCGATACATGGATTTCGATGGACGCGTTCTCACAAATTAGAGACGACCCAAAGTATAAATCAGAATTTAAAAGTGCTGGTATACAAGGAATACTTGATAAATTAGTTTGCATGCAGGCAAAATATTTCTTAAAGGGTCCGGAAGGTTGTGCTAGAACATCTAGTACTTTTACAAGTGCTATCGTCGAGGAAAGAAATAAGTTTAAGAATAAATATAATTTGATTAACATTGTTTCCTATTGGTGAAGTTCTGTTGTGTAACAGAGCTAAAAATTTATAACAATAATCTTTTACTTTATAAAACTTTATGAAAACATTATAATATAATCACTATTGGCAACAATAGATAAATAAAACAATTTAAAGCTTTCTTTTCTACTTTATATAAGTATGATCAACTTTTATTAAAAAAATTTTTTTAATTGTTATATCTGTTGCTAATTAAAAGACTAAATATAATATATACGTATATATTTATTGTCGCAGCTGGTGCTGGAAACGGCTGATGCTGAAATTTGGAGTCTCGATTTGAAAATAGAAACCATAATTATCAATTCTAACCCTAAATCCTAATATAATCCTAAAAAAAAGCGAAAAACACCGAATTTCAGCATTAGCTGCGACATTTATTAATGAAGATTTTTCGATAGGTAATAAATTTTATAATAATGATTAGAAAAGTTTAAATAGATGCACAACTCTAACGGTTTGATAGATTTGGTCAAAATTTTGCAAAGACCAGTATTACGTCTCTACGAACCAAGTTACAAAGCCATTTCTTGAAAAAAAGAAATTAAATTCTTTCTTTCTTGCCTTTTAAGAAAGAAAACTAATTCTACTTCTTGCCTTTTTTCAAGGAAAAAACTGGTATATTAAATTTTTTCATAATTAAGTAAAAGAAATAGCTCTGTAACTTTGTTCGTAGAGACGTAATACTGGTCTTCGACTAAATCTATCGAGCCATTAGAGCTGTGCATCTATTTAAAATATTCTAATAGTTATTATAAAATATAATTACCTATCGAAAATCTTCATTAATAAATTTATTATATGACCACATAGTTTTGATTTACATAGTACACCGCACACCCCAATTTAACACCCATGTAGTTAGTCAATAAATTTAGAGTTAGGGTTTGGTTACTCGTATTTTTGTTTATTTTTATTGGCTATACTAAGTAGGTGTTACAAATAAGGCATGTAACATCAGATCCGATTTGTCACGCACCTAAATTTTATATGTAAAAATTTTACTGTCACGTGACAGTGTTGACGTTCATTTAAGTTAGGGTTAGTGCTTATTATAGAGTTAGATGTTTTCTGGTATATAGTAAAATTGCTTAAGGAAATTTTTTATACTTATTTTTGAGAAATAAGTGATTTTTAAAAAATGAACATCTTGATTTTGTAACATTATATCAAATTGAGGCTCGCTATTGGATATGCTACTGTAGATCATCACATAACAGTAAAAATTTTATGCCAATACTGGGTAGGATTGGAGGCATAAAAAATTTTTTGAGCATGCCCAAAAAGGCATGCTTTAGCCTAAAGCATGTTTTTTATATTGTGTCTTGGGCATGCCTCTATATATAAATTATGTGATACACATAATATAAATAAATTAGTGTATTAAATCACATAACTTTGCACTACTGATTATTATGTAATATATAATATATATATAAAATACTAAGATAGAATTTTTCTTTATTTTGAAGACAAATTTCTTTACAACTATAGAATTTAACAAAATTTTTTTTAAATCAATTCTACAAATTAGTAGAATTTATTTAAAAACAATTTATTAAAGAATTTTAGTATTTATCGCCGGTGGCAATACCATCACCTCCTATTTCTTTTATCAAATTTAGAGATAGGGTGCAATTTTAGACCAAGGTTAGGGTTAGATATAAAGATCCAAATCTTGGTTAGAGTTAGGTTTTTGGGATCCTGAACATTTTTACTTAGTATCTTCGACATGTGTTAGCTAGTAGGTTTTTGAGATATAGTATTCCTGGCGATATCGCCACTGGCGATAAATAGCAATATTCTTTATTAAATCCTGCTAAATAGTTGTTTAGAAATTTTTGCTCAAAGTTTAGAAAATTTGTTGTTTTTTTATTTTTATTTTTATTTTTATGTTGAATTTGCTATATACATTATTACAAATGGACTGTAGCCTTCTTAATACAGTACAAGTAATAAAGCACATGGCTATAGAGCTCCATTGCGAGATTATAGCAGTGTAAAAGTAGAATGTTACTTCACTAAGGGCAGTTTGTAGAAAGTATATAGTTAAAGAAAGATATATTTTATTTATGATATATAAGACTTTAATTACAAAAAAGAATCCTATAACCAAAGAAGATTTCTGTATCTACTTGAGTCTATCTAAAGATGATTTGAACTAATTGGCAGGAAGGAAGAAAAGCCAAAGTTTATATATTTTTTTCTAAACTATCTAAAACTAATAGAAATAATAAAAAACAGTAAAAACTATAAAAACGGTAAAAACGGTTACCATTCTATCAGTTTCTAATACTATGGCAACTAACCAATAATAACTAAAGTTTTACAATAATACAATAATAGAATACAAAATAATAATATAATATAATATATAATAATAATATAACTAATAATAACTAATAATAAACTTAATAATAAAACTAATACTATAACTCATTTTATAACATTTCTATTCTCTTTAAGAATGAACTCTGTGAATTCTAACTTTTTTTAGTAGTGTCGAAAAGTCTTTCTCATTTAATTCTTCCAAGTTACTAAAGGTAATTGTTGTAGTAGAATAAAGATAAGATAATCCACAAATTTGAAGAAGTTGATAAATCTGTTCAGCACATTTCCATGCTTAGGCAGCACATCTGGGTTCTAAAGCTTTTTTAAGATTATTACGAATTTTCTGTATCTTTTTCTTATTACTATTAGCTTCTTTCATTAACTGTTCTAAGTAATAAAATGTTTCTAATATTCGATCTGTTAATCATGTGATTTTTCACAGCTCTTTTCTTTTAATTGATTAATGATTTTTCTAAGTTTTTCTTTAAAGTTTATTCTAATTAGAGGGTTGTGTCAAATAAAAACTTCTTCTTTTACTTCT